GAGAGAGTGTGTGTGTGTGTGTGTGTGTGTGTGTGTGTGTGTGTGTGTGTGTGTGTGTGTGTGTGTGTGTGTGTGTGTGTGTGGCAGAGAGGGAGAGAGAGACAGAAAGAAAGAAAGAAAGAAATAAAGAAAAAAAAGAGAAAGAGAGAGAGAATGTCAGTCAGTGAGTCAGTCAATAAGATTCACGACACAGACAACCACAGCCACAACCACAAGACAAACAAACCGACTACCTTGCTGCCTCATTACCAGCCTTACTAACCACGAGTACTAACTGGCCATCAACCCGAGCGAGCACAAGAAACAAACGAAAAAAAAGAAAAGAAAAAAAAGACAAATCCCCACTCCACCCCCACTCCCACTTCCAATCCGAGACTCACCCCCACTCCCACTCCCACATTCACCTCCACTCACACATTCACCCCCACTCCCACTACGACACTCACCCCCACTCCCACTCCGACACTCACCCCCACTCCCACTTCCACATTCACCCCCAATCCCACTCCCACTCTCACTCCTCACTCCTCACTCCCATTCCCACTCCCACATTCACCCCCACTCCCACTCCCACTCCCGCTCCCGCGTTCGTGTGAGTGAGGCCAGTTAGCAAATCGTGCCAGTGTGAGGCGTCGGCGGGGAGTGAGGGAGGAAAGAGGGGGGGGGGGGTGATCGATATCGTGCAGTTAGATCGGGGGAGATAACACAGGCTGTCGCTCATATGGGATGGGTGGGGGGAGGGGAGGGGAGGGGAGGGGAGGGGAGGGGAGGGGAGGGGAGGGGAGGGGAGGGGAGGGGAGGGGAGGGGAGGGGAGGGGAGGGGAGGGGAGGGGAGGGGAGGGGAGGGGAGGGGAGGGGTGAATGTGGAAGGGGGGGAGGGGTGATTAGAAAAGCGGGGAGGGGGAGGAAGAGGGAAGGGAAAGGGGAAAAGAGAGATAATGAGAGGTGAAAGGAAGGATGTTAGGCTATTAGGAAGGAAGGAAGGAAAGAAAAATTAATAAGTGAATAAATAAATAAAGAAAGGAAGAGACAGGTGGGAGAGAAACTAAATGGGAGAGTGAAGTGAATAGGAAGAGGAGGCGAAGACAGGAGAGATGGGGGAGGGGATAAGACATGGTACAAAAAAAATCAAACTAGAGGAAACAGCAAGGAAAAAGGGAACAGAAGAGAGAAATAATAAGGAAGAAGGATAAACAAAGAAGCTAGATTAAGGCCTAAAGGTTCAGTCCCTCCGCCACGATCCGCAAAACGCGTTGCGAAACCGAGCCAGTGGCGGCGCTGCGGATAATTGCCCTTCAAGGTAACGCTTATTTTTCGTCACGCGGGAGCTCGTTACGTCACACCGCTTCCGAAGGAGTTGGTCACGCGATGATCGAGTGTCGTTACTAATTTTATATCGCTTGTTGGGACACAGATTCGTTATTTCGCATACCTGCAGTTCTTAAAAAAAAAAAAAAAAAAAAAAAAAAAAAAAAACGGTATGCAATTGCATGCAACGCCATACTCCCCTACTCGTTATATTCATGCACCCGTTATTGGGTCAGTCACCGCGGTAGGATCTGTTTAAAACGCTTCCCTTTTCATTTCGAAATATTTTGTTTGATATTCGTCGTGCATGAATATCGTCTCGAAATATCGCCTCCATTTGCATGGCAGTTTGACAACAGTTATTCTGCCGTATTCTGTTTGAATATTCAGCAGCACTTTCCGTCACAATCCTATTCTTGGTCGTTTTCATGCTGGCCGTAGGATGAGCTTACGTCTCTCATGTTGATTTATTGCGCGGTCAATAAATACCAGAAGGCATCCGGGTGCAAACAGAGGCGGCACGTGACCTATTTCGAGGCGGGTCATCTGGGATTTGTGTGTGTTTACAAGGCCCCTAATCCCGGTCGACGATTCCATGGATTGCCTGGTTTCGCTCGCTGCATGATCCCGTTGATTGGGTGGGGGGGGGGGCGTATTGTGGAAACTGTGGCGTTGTGTGGCGATGGGGTGTAGCTCGGCGTGGTGGTGTTGGGTGTTTGGCGGTGATGAGGTGTGGTGTAGTTTGGTGGAGTGCTGTGTTATATGGTTTGATCATTTTATGGTTCTGTGGTGTGGTAAGGTTGGGAGTGGTGTAAAGTGCGGTGCATGATATGGTGTGAAGTGTTCCGTGGCGAGATGAAGGGATGCCAGGAGCCAGAGAGACTATGGCGAGGTGTGGCCGCGTGTGTTGTGCTCTGGATATGACTTTGATGGATGTCGGGATGCAGATGCCCGTTAGAGACACCTACTAGTATTTTACACAGATCATAGTATCTGTCAACCTTTATTGCTGGTGTCGTTCCATCCTGTGTCTCCATAGAGGTGAGGTGTGACCCGTTGCAGGTAAGGGACCCCTCCTCCCCTCACACCACCCCAGCCGACCCCCTCCCTTCTTTCTTCTTGCAGGTCACTGTCGCCACCTGCGACCTTCCAGGAAGGAATTCTCACCCAAGATTATGGCACTGTCCTTTCGTCGCCTGGTAGACGTGTAAAGGAAGAAACGTTTTTATTGAATATAAGGGTAATAAAGATGGGTGATAGGGGTATGGGCAGCTAGGAACGAAAAGGGAATTGCATATTACCCTGGGCATGTAACTGTTGCGGGCATGACTCACCATGTACTCCTCCACTCCCTGATCCCTCCCCCGTGCCCTCTGCACCTCCGCCCGCCGCCCACCGCCCACCGGCCGCCAGGTGGGAGTTGCCATTTAAGGCTCACTCGGACAAAGGAAACATATGGCGACGCGTTGATTTTCAGGAATTTTGATGTGGTTTGAATTGCCTTCTGTCCGGATTAGTGGTCCCCTTTTTTTTTGTTTGTTTCGGAAAAGAATGACTAGAGAATGACTGCCGATTGTTAGCCAGGCTTGTATCTACTTTTTTTTGACTGTTGCGGTTGTGCTTGATTCCGCGGCACAGAGCTATAACACGTGGGATAACACATCAATCACTGTGCTTTTGTATTCCTTACAGCCATGTTGTCGGTCGTCGGAAACACTGCATGGCGTTTATACTGCGGGGACTGGGATGTCAGTTGTGCAGTTCATGGCCAGAGGTCAGGCGCAAACGGGGGTCATGCAGATATTCCTAGACAGTTTTATTTGTTAACAATGGAACTGTCACTGCAATTTGAAAAAAATATATTTTTTCGTAGTATATTTTTGTTCTGACAAGTAAACACGAGTAAAATGTTCCTAGAAAGTTAGACTGGACAAAAAAAAAGAAACAAAGAATGCAGATTTTAAAATTCCTTTTATTTATTTAAGGCCATAGCCCGTAAAGAGGTAGTGCACAAATTCCCTTTTTGTACGCAATGGATTTATCAATATTTGCGGTAATGAGTCACCTCCCACTAATCGACGGGTTTCATGAGTAAAGGGACGAGGATGTCGATTCAAGGTTGGGAGAAGGAGAAGGGGAGAGAAGGAGAAGGGAAGAGGAGAGAGAGGAGAGAGAGGAGAGAGAGGAGAGAGAGGATAGAGGATAGAGGATAGAGATGAGATGTGATGAGATGTGAGAGGAGAAGGGGAAGAGAGAGGGGAATGGAGAGAAGAGAGGAGAGATGAAAGAGGAGAGGAGTGAGAGAGGAGAGATGAAAGAGGTGAGGAGAGAGGAGAGATGGAAGAGGTGAGGAGAGATGAGAGATAAAAGATGAGAGGAAAGAGGAGAGATGAAAGAGGAGAGGACGATGCAAAAGGAGCAAGCATGAGGAGGAAACAGAAGAGAGAAGGGAAGAGAGAATGAAGTGGAAGGGGAAGGGGAAGTATGAATCACGTAGTATGACCCTGGTTTAGGCTGGTTCGTGTCGGTCCGCGTGAGAGCTTGGTCACGGTGAGGTCGCGGTCAAGGTCTACACAATGTCTATACTTATATATATGTACTTATATAGACCATGGTCGTGGTGACCCGTACCCAGCGGGCCAGCACTGAGAATCACAGCTGATTACTCCTTTGGAGAAATAATCTTGATTGTTTTACCTTGCTATTTATTATCATTATTGTCATTTTAATATGACGATGATTATTATTGCTGTTTTGTTGTTATTGTCGCTGTTGTTGTTGCTGTTATTATTATTATTATTATTATTATTATTATTATTATTATTATTATTATTATTATTATTATTATTATTATTATTATTATCATCATCATCGTATTTTTATATACCGCGCGTAGTCGAGGACGGGTAAAGAAGTGCAGTTTGGCGAGTTGGTGCAAAGGTCGTAAATTGCGGATATTCTTGAAGTTCGTTTTTATGAGGTCGGAATTACGGCATTTTTGTTTTGATTAATGTACTTTGGAAAACGGGTATTTCGAATGAATAAACACAGCGTTCATCGCGCGGCATTAAAATTCCCCAGGATTTGTTGCATTCAGGTTGATTCACAGTGCATGAGTCAGTCGTTGAAATATGCCGTAATCGGCCCGAACATTAACCGTGGGTAATAAAAATAGAATTTTTACTGAAAGGTCTTTGCTAACAATGTTGGTATTCGATGAGCAATTTTACTGATAGGTTTTTGAGAACAGTAATGCTATTCGATGAGCATTTTACTTGAAAGGTCTTTGTTAGTACTAATGATACTCGATGAGCAATTTTACTGAAAGGTCTTTGATAACAATATTGATATTCGATGAACAGTTTATGATGTCAGATTATGATTAGGTGGAGCTTTTAAACATTCTTAGCCGTTTATTAGCATTATAGAAGCCACTGCAGAACCAATACTATTTCTTAAGATGATCAGCGGCAACCACATGCAATGTAAACGAATTGTTCACATCACAAGCTGTCAAAAAATATATCAACATTGTTAACTGCCGACCAGAAAGATTAACCAAACTTCTAATTTCTCCAAATATACCTTCACATAATCGATCACCATCCACCACAATTTCACCAAAATCTTCCCACCTTATTTATCTCCCTATCTAACAACCCCCCCTTCCCCCCCCCCTCTTGCCATTGCAGAGCTGTGTTTCCTCCGGCTGGTGTTGCTCGACCTGAGTGGGAACCGCATCGCCACGCTGCCCACCGAACTCCGCTTCATGTCCTCGCTGGTCACGCTGAGCCTCGACAACAACCCGCTGCAGCACCCGCCCGCCAATGTGAGTGCCGCCCGCGCGCTCAGGCTGCGTGGCTGGCAGTGGTAGTGGTGGTAGTGGTGGTAGTGGTGGTAGTGGTGGTAGTAGTGGTAGTAGTGGTAGTAGTGGTAGTAGTGGTAGTAGTGGTAGTAGTAGTAGTAGTAGTAGTAGTGGTGGTGGTGGTGGTTAATAGCAATAGCAAAAATATTAGTAGTAGTGTTGTGGTATAATCAATATTAATTGTAGTAGTAGTAGTAATGGTAGTAATAGTAATAGCAATAGCAGTAGCAAAAGCATTATTATTAGTAGTAGTATAATTAATATTAATTGTTATAGTAGTAATAATAGTAATAGAAATAGCAAAAACATAATTATTAGTAGCAATGGTAGTAATAGTAGTATTAGTAATATTAGTAGTTGTAGTTGTAGTTGTAGTTGTAGTAGTAGCAGTAGTAGTAGTTGTAGTAGTATTAGTTGAAGTTGTAGTTGTAGTTGTAGTTGTAGTTGTTGTAGTAGTAGTAGTGCTGGTGGTGGTGTGCAAAGTCTACTGGCACGGATGGATGTATTAGTACGATTTCTTTTACTTTTTTATTTTTTTTCATTTTACTATTGTTTAAAGAGCTCATGCTGCTATTGGCATTTCTGTTACTGATGTTACTAATTACTAGTTATTACTATTACTAATGCTGTTAGTATTACTAGCATTGCTTTGTTTTGCATTTCTCCAGTCTTTCTATGATCATTTTTTTTTTTTATTTTATTTTATTTTTTTAACAAAATACTGTTTCAAAGCTTACAAAAATATATATTTTTCTATGGTTCTTGTCCAGCATTGCACAAGTTTCCTTCATCATAGTTTGAGAATCCATATTTTTGCGGGGTTATGTTTCGGTTTAGAGAGTTGGCACCACCATAATGTTTGTGTCATCAAAGCTTAAGAACACAAATTAGTTTTTTTTTCTGCCATTTGCCAAGCTTGACATGACTTTCTCTCACTGTAACTCACCCTCCAAAATGCACAAACAGAAATCTAGACTTTTCCTTGCCTTTCTCCCTAGCTTTGTACGAGAGGGCGAGTCCACATCTTCAAGTGGCTGGAGATGACAGCGGCAAAGGAGGACAAGAAGAGAGGCGTGTTATCCGAGTCCGAATTCCGAAAACTAAGGAAGCCTTCGTCTGCAACAGATTTCAGGTAAGAGGCGTAAAAAGGGCTTAGGAGGAGGGATGTTTTTTTTTTTTTTTTTTTTTTTTTTCTTAGTTATTTTGTTTTTGTTCGATTTTCATGACAATTCATTTCCCCCCCTTTCTTTCTTTGTCTATATTAAGGTGTTTATTTTTATTGGGAAAATGTCTTTAGGTGTATTTAATTTTATTTTTATTTTGTTTTGATTTCTATTGTTTTGTATTAAAGTGTTTGAGGGAATAGGTCTGTGAATTTTGGTTTGAAGTATACTAATATTATATATATGTACTAGAGCATTTTCCATAATTGATAAAGTTAGTGGCATATGTGAAAAAATTGAATATTAACTTCCTAGAGGACAATTAAATTTTTAAAGAGAATTATTCTTCAATGCAAGTCATGTTTTTCTATTGCACAGAGAATCAAAAATATGAAAATGCAGGGCTTTTCATATCTTTCGTAATTGATTTTATATATTTATTTAAATGTATGGTTATAATGAGACAAATAAAACATTTTTATACAGGTTTTGCATTTTATATAGATTTTTGAGCACTTTTTCCCTGAGGGTAAAAGCTTTTCAACTAAATATATTATTGTATATAAGTGTAAAGGATATTCAGTCCAATAAATAGCTTCCCTGTTTATATTAATTGCATATTAATGTAATGTTATGATTTTGTCTCTGCTTGGTAGTGATGTGTGAAAGACCTTCCTTTAGCTAACACATGTTTTGACATGACTGACATACTAGATTTTTGCTCCTTTGTGTAAATGATTAATTGTCCCATCAGCTTCTCCAGTAATAACTTGTATTTTTGTTATCTTTATTTTTGAAATTTAGATGTAGTTGAGTGTATTTAATTCTCTCCGTCTCTTTTTTTTTTTGTGTGCGTTACTTGTACTGTTTGTGTGTGATGTAAGCTTAGTAAATTCTTAAGGAGCTTAAGATACTAGCTGCAGAAATAGACACCAACTATGCCTCAATTTTAGGGAAGTTGAGCACACTCCGTCAGAGGTCGTCAAGGAAAGTTTAGATGGTCTGGGGTCCACTCACGGCAACAGTGGGTGGTCGCTAAGTCTTCAGCGTAGTGTGGGGGCCATGGTAGTTGTAGTTCTTATTGCTTATGTAAGTGGTGAGGCATGTTAGTGTGTATTTATTCATGTGTGTGCTGCTAACCATCTAAACTTCATTAACAACTAATCCTGCTGAGGCTTCTTCTCAAACAGCAACCAAGGAAGGGAGGGGGTATTAAGGTTAAATGCAAATTGTTAGGGAAATTATTGTGTTGGACCTCAACAGTTAACTGTACGTCTCTTCAGTGGCTGAATGTCAGAGTGCTGTATGCCTCTTGAGAGCATTGTTTTCAAGTGACACATTAATGTCTTTTCTGATTTATAACCCATTTTTTTTCCTGCTGATAAGACTGCCTCTCTGCAGTGTTTGGCTTGTACATCATTTGTAATTAGTGATTATGAAAAGATGAACTGATATTCCCACAACATAGCAGTACATGTAAAAGAGGCACTCAGTTGCATAAGGGTTAAATAACCAGTCCCTCTTTTAGTGGTGTTGGTACAGGTATGGGTGTAAGAATTTTAGGTTATTTCAAATGGGAACCAGTTAGAGGTGGAAAAGAAATATTCTTGAGGTTAGAATAGTGGTCCTTGTAAGCTATGGTAGGTTTGGTGCATGAAACTTTCCCTGTTTAAGGGAGCATATGGTTTGAGATTGATTATGAAGTCCTTTTTGTATCCATCTTCTTAATCTTACTTATAATTAGATACTTATTGATTTATTCATATTGTAGTCATCTGATGGATTAGGCCTGTAGTTCACATCTGCTGAACATCTTTCAGTAGCTATCAACCAGTGTTAGAGAGAAACCAGAAAGTAGAATTCTAAAGATGCAGAACTTATTCAGAATCATGACTTGTGGTTGCTGTTGTTCTCCTCGGGTACTAGAGCTAGGTGGCACGACTAATACCTGATGACTGAACATTCTGACTCATCTTCACATTTCAGCGTTGCTACACATACACATACATGCATATCTTTGCTTTTACATCTCCATGCACAAATATACATATGAGTTTTTTCCTGTATGACTGCTCGTTAGCTGTATAAGAATTGTCAGAGCAACTGTTCAGGTTTCTAAGGCATTTCTTTCTCTACATCTTTCATAATTATAATGCAATTAGTTTTCTTTGCTAGTAAAGTAATGGAGTTCCTGCTTGATGCTAGAATAATTAATCATCTTTAAATATAAATGAATTTCTGCTTAATATATGAAAGCAATATGCTGCAATTAATGAAGATGAGGATTGTCTAAAAAGTGTCTATGAATAACATATATGAACTGATAAAGTCATGTGTATTTCTTTCTTAAAGTCAAGTTTCAAGGTTATGTTTTGCTATCAAATATCAGCAAAAGTTAATCTAAAACTGTTATTTTATTGTTCCCCAAGGCATTGCTATATAACTTTCTATCTATCCACAATAGGACTTCCTGTTTAGTGTTCAAAACAAAAATGATACACAAAAATGCACACACGCAATCAAAAGGCAACACAACATACATACTACTCTTATTTTTAAGCCCTTGTAGTTTTATTGATTTGCAGTTTCATTGTAACCTAATAGATGAGGATGCATATCTGTGGACATATGCATAGGTTATAATTATAAACAAAGGAATTCTTTTTAGAAATATAATCTGTTATAAATCATTCAAATTTTCTTGTAAGAGCTTTACATCCTGAGTATGGCTTAACTGTTTTTATTTACTTTTTAGGCAGTGAGGTCTAGAAAATAATGAGTTAGTATACATCGTGCCATCAGCTTTTGTGTGCGGTTCAATATCTCTATAGCATGTTTAATGATCCTCATTGCCAATGTCTTTTGCAGATTTGTCAATGGGTTCTTTGACCCACGCCACAAGCGCAGTACGATGGACAGTGGGTACAGCACAAGTGAGAATGGTGACCAGAGATGGTCACAGGAGAGTCAAGAGGTTTGTGGTCTTGCTGAGATTGTTCTGTGTAAATGGCATTGGTTAATGATTGATTGAGCACTACATAAAGGAAAGGCAAGAATATAAGAATAATTGTTATGTGTAATCAGTAAGCATTCTGTAGTAGTGGTAGATGTTTAGCATAATCCTTTCCCCCCTTCCCCCATTTTAGAGCCTAGAGTATGAAGATTCACGAAAGCTAGCGGTAATGGCTGCCACCTGTACAAAAGAGCAAAGACAGGAGAGGGGCAGGAGTGGCCCTCCATCCCGATCAGTCAATGGATTACCTAATGGGGGCATGAACACTGGGGTTAATGGGTCACAGGGAATGAATGGCTCAGGTTATGGGGCACAACACAGCACAGACCATCCTACAAGTGGCTTGTCAACACCAAGTACACTAAGTCCTGGTGATGGATTCAATTTAGAAGATGAATTCAACAAGGTAATGGAGGTGAATGTGTACAAAGTGATGCTTTAAACTGGTGTGTGTTTTTCCTTGATCTGAATTTGTTTTTTATTAGTGTGTCTATATTATGTGATATTCCAGTGCAAACAATGAATTATAAATTTTGTTGTATCAGATGTATCAGATCTTTTATGGTCCTTTACAGGCATTGAAAATGAAACAGGACTATGAAAATGTTTATGGCAGTGATCATTCCCCTGTGAAAGAGAGGTAAGTGTGATTGAAGCATATGTAAAAGATGTGCTAGTGTGGCCCTTAGTGTGTCTACTTCTGAGATTCCTTTACTGAGAAGGTAAAGGGTCTAGGGCAGTCTGACAATCTAAGGCTCACACATGGAATTCTTTTCTCAGTTGCATTTTATGCTCTCTTGTGTTAATTGACTTCATTGATCATTGGATTAATAGGGAAGTGCTGATTTAGGTTAGGGGCAGTTCACTAACATCCATAATATGGCTTTCTCTTGCTGGCTCTGAACTTATCTTGCTTGTGTGGGCTAACTAATAACAAATCAAGTTTGAAGTGGAACTATGCAGTAGTTAAGGTGTGATTGTGTGTACTTGGACTGAGTAATAGCATGGGATACATTTTTGGTTAGAAATCATCACCGATTGTCTTGGTTATTCTTAAGTATGTAGAGATTAAAACTTAAGATCTGGTGGAAGATTTCCTTTCCAACTAGACACTGAGGTAGGTTTATTCACGCTGTTATTCGCTGTGACTCGTGAGTGCGAATGAGTTGTCTGAGCATTTCTTCAAATCATTATATTTCATTACGTATTTAGGCACCAAAGTCCTTGAATGGCGCTGCATGAATGTAGACATCCAATTACTTATTTCCCTTTTACTGGACGTCCTCGTTATGTCTTCCATAATTCTTTCCTCGCAGTTTTTGTAACACTTTAGACAGAATATTTATATGAATTCAAAAGTATATCGAATGCCACATACACTTTTCATAATTAGTTGAATGTATAGAAAAACAAAGATCTGCTTGACTTGTTGAAATCTTTCAGTTTTCACTGTTAATATTTTCAGTAATAGATGTATCAGATAAAAAAAGGTAGTTCTTTATATTAGTTTCAGGCAATGCAGAAGAGGCTGGTATACCTTTGGATAGAGACATTTTTGTTTGAGAATACTGTCCAAACCCGCATAATCTTTTTCAACTGTAGACATGCATGAATACTTATTACCTTCTATGTCCTGTCTGCATGAACGTTCAAAGTATTTAGAGTAATAAAAGTCCTGTAAAGATCCTTCTTAATCTCTTTCTATTACTCATTGCCCTGAATGTTCCCCAATCAGCACATTACTTTGGAAATGAATAGCAAAACAGTTCCCTCATGTTATTCATAGTGTTGATGTTAATATTCCTTGTTTTAAACTGATCATTAAATATATATAATTTTTATTTCCTTCTTTTGACGACATAATGCTTCATTAATTGGAATAGGTTTTAAAACTTTTTTTTTTTTTCATTATGTGCTTCAGATTATTTTTGACTGTTGTTTTTATTTTTATTATTTTTAGGTATTTTGATGTTTACACCCTAGATAAAACCCATTTATCAGATATTCATTCATAACAATGGAAGGGTTGAGAGTGAGTGCGCATGTGTGCATGCTGATTGTGTGGCAATCGATTGTGTTTCAGCAACTCTGGTGCTATTTGGAATGTTGGGAGTGGCAGCCACAGCAGCAGCAGCAACAGCAGCAACAGCAACCACAGCAGCAACACCAACGGGGGCATCTCCCTTCGTCACCCACCAGAGCCCCCCCATCCCCTTAACCCTGATCCTGGAGGGGGTTATATCCCCTCCCTTCACCCCCCCTTCCACACACCCCACGCCCACATCCCCACCTACAGGTTGGTGTCCCAGCCTAGCTTCACTCCTCCTTGGGATTCCTTTTATACATGTTTGTTTTCACATGTTATAAAGCCCAGAGACAGAGACAGAGAGGGAGAGAGGAAGAACACATTATTCTCAATGTCTTTTTTCTGTATTTTATATTTAAACTTATTATGTTGATAAGGGTTCTTCCTCTCACTCCAAAACTTTTGGATCCATATCTGCTTGAGCAGCTGGTTGAGGGTAAGGCTGTATTAACATACTCTTAACCAATAGCAAGCTACTTTAGGCTTAGCTTACGTGGCTAAGAAATAGAAAGGACAATATGAGAAGATATGCCATGATCTCTGTTTTTTTTCAACAAGTGTTTATTTTTGGCTTATACTCTATGATCTCATACATCCTGCTGTCAAGAATGATTTATTTTCATAGTTCATTTCATTATATAAACACCATGCTTTTATAGCACTTGCACACTGTATTCATGAGAGTTATTATTTGGTCAGCACACATTTCAGACATGTAATTCATTGGTAGTTGTAGTGGTGCTCGTGATACTAGTAGAATAGTCTAAATGTAAAGTATGCGGTGGGTCACGTAGATTTCTCTTGATGTTTTTGCCTCTAGATAGGGAATTGAACTTTATGGAAATTGTATGAAAATGATGTTTAGTAGAGGAGTTTTGATTGGATCAGGAGCCAAAGAGGAATATTTTATTTTATTATATATTTATTTATTTATTTATTTATTTATTTATTATTATTTTTTTAAAATCTTTTTAATATAGAATTTGCAAGCTTTGGTTAGATCGAGATGCATGATGGATTAAGACAAGGATTTTATGTGATTTTAAAACTTGGTGCTTAAATTAGGTTAAGTTTTGCATGATAGAGATAAAGAATTTTGTACACATTAACTGCAAATTTGCAAGTACAGATGATTTATTGGTTATATCATTGGAAGGGAAGTTTGAAAGAAGGTAGTATATATATATATATATATATATATATATATATATATATATATATATATATATATATATATATATATATATATATATATATATATATATATGTATATATATATGTATATATATATATCATCGTCACCGTCACCGTCACCGTCACCGTCACCGTCACCGTCACCGTCACCGTCACCGTCACCGTCACCGTCACCGTCACCGTCACCGTCACCGTCACCGTCACCGTCACCGTCACCGTCACCGTCACCGTCACCGTCACCGTCACCGTCACCGTCACCGTCACCGTCACCGTCACCGTCACCGTCACCGTCACCGTCACCGTCACCGTCACCGTCACCGTCACCGTCACCGTCACCGTCACCGTCACCGTCACCGTCACCGTCACCGTCACCGTCACCGTCACCGTCACCGTCACCGTCACCGTCACCGTCACCGTCACCGTCACCGTCACCGTCACCGTCACCGTCACCGTCACCGTCACCGTCACCGTCACCGTCACCGTCACCGTCACCGTCACCGTCACCGTCACCGTCACCGTCACCGTCACCGTCACCGTCACCGTCACCGTCACCGTCACCGTCACCGTCACCGTCACCGTCACCGTCACCGTCACCGTCACCGTCACCGTCACCGTCACCGTCACCGTCACCGTCACCGTCACCGTCACCGTCACCGTCACCGTCACCGTCACCGTCACCGTCACCGTCACCGTCACCGTCACCGTCACCGTCACCGTCACCGTCACCGTCACCGTCACCGTCACCGTCACCGTCACCGTCACCGTCACCGTCACCGTCACCGTCACCGTCACCGTCACCGTCACCGTCACCGTCACCGTCACCGTCACCGTCACCGTCACCGTCACCGTCACCGTCACCGTCACCGTCACCGTCACCGTCACCGTCACCGTCACCGTCACCGTCACCGTCACCGTCACCGTCACCGTCACCGTCACCGTCACCGTCACCGTCACCGTCACCGTCACCGTCACCGTCACCGTCACCGTCACCGTCACCGTCACCGTCACCGTCACCGTCACCGTCACCGTCACCGTCACCGTCACCGTCACCGTCACCGTCACCGTCACCGTCACCGTCACCGTCACCGTCACCGTCACCGTCACCGTCACCGTCACCGTCACCGTCACCGTCACCGTCACCGTCACCGTCACCGTCACCGTCACCGTCACCGTCACCGTCACCGTCACCGTCACCGTCACCGTCACCGTCACCGTCACCGTCACCGTCACCGTCACCGTCACCGTCACCGTCACCGTCACCGTCACCGTCACCGTCACCGTCACCGTCACCGTCACCGTCACCGTCACCGTCACCGTCACCGTCACCGTCACCGTCACCGTCACCGTCACCGTCACCGTCACCGTCACCGTCACCGTCACCGTCACCGTCACCGTCACCGTCACCGTCACCGTCACCGTCACCGTCACCGTCACCGTCACCGTCACCGTCACCGTCACCGTCACCGTCACCGTCACCGTCACCGTCACCGTCACCGTCACCGTCACCGTCACCGTCACCGTCACCGTCACCGTCACCGTCACCGTCACCGTCACCGTCACCGTCACCGTCACCGTCACCGTCACCGTCACCGTCACCGTCACCGTCACCGTCACCGTCACCGTCACCGTCACCGTCACCGTCACCGTCACCGTCACCGTCACCGTCACCGTCACCGTCACCGTCACCGTCACCGTCACCGTCACCGTCACCGTCACCGTCACCGTCATCGTCATTGTCATCGTCATCGTCATTGTCACCGTCACCGTCAGTCACCATCACCGTCACCGTCACCGTCACAGTCACCGTCACCGTCATCGTCATTGTCATTATCACCATCATCATCTAATATTATCATGGTTATCATCATCATCATCATCATCATCATCATCATCTAATATTATCATTATCATGGTTATCATCACTCGTCACTCATTACTCATTACCCATCAACATCAGAATCATGATTATATTCACCATCAGTTTCATCACTATCATCATCACCCTCACTATCATAGTCTTTGCCCATTAGCAGATTTGTTGATAATTGAAAATGGGAGGAAGCCAGAAGTGAAAGGGTGGACTGTCCTGTATGAGTTATTGCATAGTCAGTCATTAGCATTTTGCTAGGGTATTTGAAGCTCACAGTACTGGTAGATTTGGATTACCCAACACTCTCTAGCAACTGCAAATGTTTTTGGAAGAGGATATGGTGATGATATTTATGACTTTTATTGCAGGAGTTTATATTTCATGAAAGAGAGAGAGAGAGAAAAAAAATGTTCTTTGTACCCTATCCCCAGAGAATATGTGGAAGCTAAATTGCAAAAGCGAGCGATGGAAAACAACAACATCTACAGACGGCAGGGATCAGAAGGGAATTCCCCCACGGCGGAAAATGGGACTCACCGATCCGTTGAAAATATTTCCCACCGGAGTGAGATGGCGTCCTATCCTAGACCGAATCCTATGGGGGCGTCCAAACCTCCTTGTAATGGGGTATGTGGCATGTATTGTCTTTGCACATACATTTTGGTTTGTCTTTAGTTGTTGTTTAAAATTTTGTTAGAAAAGGTAACCTGGATGTAAGTCTGTCCATTAATTCTCTTACAGTATTAGGTTAGCACAGTATGTTCATCTTGATTGTTGTGTAATATTATTTGCACATGTAAGTTGGATGCACTTTTAGAGGGCAATATGATATAAGTATCCCAAAGTTTTACCATTGTCATCAGTAAACTTTGCACAGTACAGATCATAGTAGCTGATACTAATTAATAATAAAGGCATAAAAACAAGGATGCATTCTGTGTAGAGCATGTTTGTTCCCAATAATCTTTTTTTAACAGGAAAACTTGTTTGTTAATCCTCTGTATCCTGAAGTAGAGTCTTTTGATTGTGAATCCTGATTTAATTTTCTTCCATACTAGTTACACATTGTTTTTATTTTCTGAATGGAACTGATGTGTCCTCTAATTGTGTTTTTATAGTTAATCTGCATGGAAAATAAAAGACAGCAACAGTGCATCTTGAATCATGTATTGCTCTTTGATGTTGCATTTGGAATGAATGATTAAAGTGCATCATATTATAAAAAGACATAACATTGGATAAGTTAGATACATGTTTGCACCCTGTGTTTTCACCATAGGCTGTAGATGCAGCATTGAATGGTAATAAACAATTTGACTGAAGCACATGTCCTAAATGTCAAGACCTTAATGGAAAGGTTTTACAGTTTTTCCCTGAATGCAAATTCCATAGATGTTGCTCTCTTAAAGGAATGTGAAAGTATGGAATCTTTTATTTATTTATGTAGCATAGCAAAATATTTGATTTTAAAAGCTTTGTTAAGTGATAGCTAGAAAGGTGTAGAACCAAGGACCTGAAAGAATGGAAGTCTAGTTTGGGTCTCTATCTACCTGACCCCCCCCCCCACACACACAAAGGGTGTGATGTTATAAAATGCTTCAGTAAGTAATGTGCTTGCAGCTTGATGGGTATTCACAAAGGTTGCCAAGCCAACCGCGACCGCAAGACCTTAGTCGGGAGGATATGACACGTGCCGATGTCAAGAACATTCAGAAGGAAGCAGTGTTGTCATATGTTAAGGTGAGGTTCTTTGTCCTCAACTGTTGGTTTGGTTGGAGGAGGCGGCTTTGGGTTTGAAATATCATTATATATAATTTTTTTCTTTTACATCCTTCTATTTTTCTTTCTCTGTTTTCTTACTATGTTTTGTGGGATAATGAGTGTAGAGTGTGAAGAATTGGGTTTACTTTTTTTCCTTTTTTCCTCCCATTCCTGCAAGAAAACTTTGGAGTTGTAGATGATAGACAATACAAAACAAGGAGAGATTTTTGCAATTGCATTCCTACTGAAGTGGAAAATAGCTTTTAAACTTTATTAGCTCTAAAATATTGGTGATTTTCTTCGTATCTATAAGACTTTTTAAGATTTTCACCATGTATTTAGAGGGAAATAGAGAAAAAACATGAAGCTCAGAGGACACCACGGCCAAAACGCATCAGTCGAGGAATAGCAACAAGGACTGATGTCAAGAATTTACAAAAGGAAGCTGTGTTGTTATATATAAAGGTGAGGCCGATGGCCTTCGGAATGACAGCTGTGAGTGGAGAAATAGCAAGAACCAAGTGCATTTACCTCTTAGCTTTGTTGCTTCAGTTACAGAGGAAGACCAACTTCTGCTGATTGATAATATGGGACTTGTTGCTTTTATGTGACTCAGTTCAAGGGATATGAATATTCACCTTTTTTTTTAATCATTCAGGTTGTTGATTATTGGTTAATCCATAAAAAATAACTGGCATCCTTTTAATTCTCTCGTTTTTTGTTAGATGTGAAACTCAATATTGCAGTTAATGCTTATTATTAAGAAAATTAGATTTTGTAAATAAAGAATGATTCATATTGTGCATGAAGACAGGTTGATGTACGTGATTATATGTATTTGTTCAAAAGCAATAAAAGAAGTGGTTTTCAATTATATTACTTAATTGTTAGAAATGTGTGACTGAATTGAGAGTTGCATAGCATTTCCATTTAGGTTTATCCGAGAGATTTGTTAAAGGGATGCCATTTGAAATTCAGTGAAAATATTCATGTTAAGTATGTTATAGTTATTGCTGAGAGACACATTTATAGCCAACATATAGGCAAGAGATAGAGAAGAGCTTAGAGAGGCAGTCAGAGCAAAAGTGGAGATTGGTCATCAGAATCTGTTCGTCCATATTTTTTTATTTTATTTATTTTGTAAATAGTCATTTCTCAATGTGGAGTTTACACAGATATGTAGATACACTAGTGTTGTACTGTGCTGTGGATTGTCAAGGTACTTAGACCGGTACTACTCCTACTTGGCATCGGAAGCATGTCTGACGGTTGCTTTGCAAAGTTACGGTTTGCGCCTCTCTAACTGTCGGCAAGTTACTCAAAACAGGATTGCGTGTCTTGTAAGGGAAACGGAGAAATTCTGAAGATCGTAGATGGTGGAGACAAAGTTACTTTTTTATTGTGGAGTTTATCAATGGTTTGTATCAATTTTATAATGTATAGTGTTTCCTAAGGAATGCTTTTTTGTAGATGTTTGCATTCCATCAGTATTGAATATAGGAGAATGATGTGCAACAGGATGTTGCAAGCATGAATTGCATGGATTCAGAATGATAAAGAAAATCCTTGTAGTTGGATAGAAGATTTGTATGTATTTCAGGTTGTATAATTTGAAGTGTGGTGCACATAAAGTTTTCTTTTCATTTATATGCACCTTTATTTGCCTAACTTTTTTCATGTAAGTATTTTATATAAGTTTTGATATATAGCAAGTGCATGCCAGAAGATTGTAGTTTCATTACTAATTTTTTTTTATTCCTATCTCTTCCAGTCTCGTGTTAGCCCGAGCAAGGGTTCAGCCTCCAACTCCCCTGATGTCAGCTTTGACTCTGGGGATGGGCCTTCCTATCCCCAAGTCTCCTCCAGCTCCTCACACCTACAACACAATGTGCCACATGCCAGCTTCTCATCTAGTCCGTACACCAGCCAAAATGTTAGTTACCCCATAAGTGCTCCTCAAGCCTCTAGTACACCATTCACGAGCAGTAATAATATGGCCAACCCATATCCCAGTGCAACCCACCAGAGCACTTCCCAGCCCGGCACCCCGCATGCGAGTACGTACGCAAACAGGGGCAGTAATGGCTCGTTGCCCAAGACGCCAAGCACAGTCAAGGCTCGAAAGAGGAGTGGAGGCGGCAGGCCCTTTGATCCCGATGCGTCTCCTGCTCATCTGAATTTCACCTACAGACGGGAGATGGAGAAACAACAGCACGAGAAGCAGTTGATAGAAAATTTGAGAAATGTAGGTTTTGAGTTGTTGTAGATGTGCATCACATTTGAAATTTGAAGGTGGACCAAGAGAGATACTAGAAAAATCTAGCAGATCAAGTGAAAAGTAAATGTACAGCATCAGGTGACATAAGTCTTGTTTTAGAGTTAATTAACAGGTAAATCATGTATACTTTGCAGATAATTGAAAGCAGATTAAAGGTGTCTTTGCCAGCCGACCTCTCTGCTGCCTTGATGGATGGCGTTGTGCTCTGCCACCTAGCCAATCATGTCCGCCCGAGATCCGTTTCTTCTATCCACGTTCCGTCTCCGGCGGTGGTAAGGCTAAGCAGTGACTGCTTTCTTTGTTTTGTCTGTTAAAGAAAAAAAAGCTGAGGTATAGCTTTAGAAATTGGATGATTTGCATTGTTTAATCAATATGTTTTTGTATATGTTTTCACCAGTGTATTTTATTCTTCATTTCAGCCAAAATTGACAATAGCTAAATGTAGGTTGAATGTTGAAAACTTCCTTGAAGCTTGCCGGAAAATCGGAGTAGAAGATGTAAGTAACATTTGTGCTTCGTCTGTATTTGTTTGGTTATTTTTTCCTTCTTTTCTTTTCAACTGTATTTTTTTTTATATTCTTCCCCCCCCTTTTTTTGTGTGTTTTTTAGTTGCAATGTGTACAGCATATGTTTCTAGGAGAAGTATTGAAGGCAAAGAATATAGAAAAGGATGGTAAAAGTTGGTCATAAAATATTATGTTGAAAGATTATATATAGAATTGTAATAAACATGAATAAGAATATTATGGGACCTTAACAAAAACAAGACAGAAGACTGTCAGTGCATACAGTATATGATAAGGGAAAGGAATATTATGGTGGAGTTAGGAAGTTAAAGTAGGGGACTTGGGCAAAATGTTTTTTTGTTTTTACTTTGAAGCCAGTTTTGTATCTTTCAACCATAGATATTGTTTATTTTGTAAAACTGTTTGAGGCAGAGTGTGAAGGTGATTAAACATGGATTATAAAATAACTTTTATACAACGGATTATTAACTGAATAACAAGTTCATGATGATGACCGTTTGTGTATCAATAGATAAAGAACGTTTTTCTTAAAGATTTCTTAAAGATATATTTTGTCACAGTAGCATTAGCAGTAATGAGAAACATATTTCAAGATTATTTTGTTGCAAAGAATGTACATAGTGAAATGCATAAAAATGTTCTAGTCTTTTACACAAAAGCTGAATGTGACAGTGGAGAAGGTGCAGTTTATTGTTGAAATTATGATTTTAATGTTTTTATTTTAAAGAATCATATTACATCTAGGGATTAGTTCCATTTTCTGAAATGTGCATCTGTTTGGTTTTGTCAAATACTGTACAAAATGGGAAATTTTATTTATGTATATGCATGTAAGATGTGTATGGAATATATGTTATTACTTACCTGAATGTATATTTGTAAACAAAGTTATGGTAAGTGTATGCATTTACCCAAAGGACTATACAAATGCACAAACACTGAAACACGACTAGGCTGTGGAACTGTCACTTTCCAGTGTCTTGTACATATTGGTTTCCCGACTTCTCCTTGAAGTGTAGGCTGCACAGTTCTCTGTTTTGATTTCATCATTTGCTTTTTGCTTTATTTTGCTGGCTTTTCTTGTTTTCTGTTTATTTAAAATTTTGTGTTTTTTGTTTTATGTTATTTTGTTTTATTTTTTATTTTGCTTTTGGTTCTTTTTTCTTTTCTTTTCTTTTCTTTAAGGTATGTTTATCAAGACTATTGTAAATAGCTTTAATTGAGGCCTAGATATTACAGTACACAAGGTTGGTTAGGTGAGATACGCAGCATTCTTCACTTTTGTATTATATCACCTTATCCATTGATGTTCAAGCACCAGTACGGGACTCAGATTGGTGTCATGCCTACCTTCCATTTATTTTCCTACTTTCCACACACAAAAAAAAAGGTTAAAGAGAAAAACAACAACATGGAAAGGAAATACCTGTCTTTTATCTTTGAGAAGTATATAGATCTACTAACCATGGGTGGGAGTAGGGGTGCAGTGCTTGGGGAAAAAAGAAAAAGCTTCTGATATGGAGTAGGGCACATACGTAGTGTTTGATATCTAGGATGGTTTTATTTTGTTTTTGTTCTCTCTCTCTCTTTTTTTTATTTTTTTATTAAGGCTAGTGCATGGCAGTTTGGATGTCTATTTATGGACAAGCTTCTTATTTGTGTTTTCCTCTGTTCAGTTTTTCTTTTGATTTTCTGTTTGGGGCAAGGGGGGAAATAACTGCTAGGAATGTATATAAACTGAAAGCTTTAAAAAATCAAAATGCTGAGAATGAAAGAGGTTATTGGGGGTCACCCAGCATGGCACTTAAAGCACCTCACAATGGCAGGCTATTCTTTTAAAGGTGAATGTAGCTTCATCTTCAAAACCCCATTGTTTTTTTTTTATATCTCACTGCAGGGAGGAAGGATTCTTGGTTTTTGTCACTTTCTGCATGCACTCAAGTGGAGGGTTGGGATAACTACTTGAATAACACTTATCAGAGCATGAAATAGTGGAGAGTGGGACTAATACTGTATAAAAGAGGAAGATAAATCAATTATTCTTTTGTTTATGGCTTTCTTTGGTGCCTGGGGTATTTCTGTAGAGGTGAGAGGCCCCCCACTTGAGCTTGTGTTGCAAAGGATTTCCCCCTCCGTCTCACTTCGGCGTTGGTGTCTCTTTACAGGCGCGCGTGTGTGCATGCGACGATATCGTAACCCATTTTGACCCTGAGCGTGTGCTAACAACTGTCCGCTCCTTTGTCAACCCCTCTGAGTCCCTGTCATTAACCAAGTATAATGGCATGGTTGTGGATCAGCCTGATCCTCATGCCCCTCCTGTGGCCATCCTTGAGGATTCCCTGACCTCTCAAGGGGACAGCGAGACTACAGTGCATTCACAGCCGTACCAGGCAGCCGACCAGCGTTTCTTGTCCAATGCGCTGCTGTGTATTTTCCTATCCACTCTTGTGTTACTGTATTTGTATCCTCCTCCAGATGATTAGAGCCACAGTCTTCCCATACATGAAAGAAATGAGAAAAGAAAGTAATAAAAGTAATCATTCATTAATTTTTTTATAAAGATTTTTTCTATTAATGGTACTGTATTGCATAGGCCTTGCTTTATTTCAGTTGCTTATATGGATTAAGAAATATTGAATTTGAACACATATTGTTAAGGAAAAAGGACGTTGTCCCTCCATCTCTGGCTAAAATACTTGTAACTGTGCATGAAAATTGCAGTTATCTGTTTAATTTTACAAGACTCTTTTTGGCAGAGATTGGTGAAATTCTGTTATTTTACAGCATGGATACCCTTTATTCTGCTCTGCTCTTGCCTGTTTGGTATCTGAAATGTTATTTGTTTATATGTCTCAGGTTTATTTTGAGAGCATTTACAGCTTTAGTTTATATATCTACCTCTTATCTCTAATCAGGTTTCCTGATTCTAAGTGCACAGATTCACACACACAAATTCACACACACACGTGCACAGATTCACACACACAAATTCACACACACACGTGCACAGATTCACACACACAAATTCACACACACACGTGCACAGATTCACACACACAAATTCACACACACACGTGCACAGATTCACACACACAAATTCACACACACACGTGCACAGATTCACACACACAAATTCACACACACACGTGCACAGATTCACACACACAAATTCACACACACACGTGCACAGATTCACACACACAAATTCACACACACACGTGCACAGATTCACACACACAAATTCACACACACACGTGCACAGATTCACACACACAAATTCACACACACACGTGCACAGATTCACACACACAAATTCACACACACACGTGCACAGATTCACACACACAAATTCACACACACACGTGCACAGATTCACACACACAAATTCACACACACACGTGCACAGATTCACACACACAAATTCACACACACACGTGCACAGATTCACACACACAAATTCACACACACACGTGCACAGATTCACACACACAAATTCACACACACACGTGCACAGATTCACACACACAAATTCACACACACACGTGCACAGATTCACACACA